GCAGACACAGCCGCTCCGGCTCCAGTACCTCCAGTAGCACCCACTCCAGCAGCACCACCAGCTCCAGCTCCACCAGTAGCTCCAGCTCCAGGAGCACCACCAGGCCCAGCAGCTCCAGTACCTCCAGTACGAGCACCTCCGAGACCCGTGGCTCCAGCACCCCCAGCAGAAGCAGAACCTCCAGTACCGGCTCCAGCAGCACCTCCAGCTCCAGTACCTCCAGCAGCAGCAGAGCCTCCAGCACCGGCAGCACCTCCAGCTCCAGCAGCACGGCTCCAGCGCCGAGCAAACCACTCGCGCAGCTCCTGTGGAGAGGGAAGCTCCCGCCAGGACAAAGCACCCGAAGGACCGCCAGGTCCAGCACCGGCAGGCTCCACACCCCCACTCCCAGCAACCCCAGGCTCAGCACCCCCAGAAGCAGCACCCCCAGGCTCCGCACGCTCAGGCTCAGCACCCCCAGACCCAGCACCCCCAGGCTCCGCACGCTCAGGCTCAGCACCCCCAGACGCACCAGAGTCAGCAGCTACCTCGACAGGCTCGACTGCATCTACCTGGGACACACCTGAGGGGGCAGGACCCTGAGGGGGGAGGGGGTCTACCGGGGGGGGACCGGGAGCGAGGAAGAGCGGCGGGGGGGGGAGGAGGGCAGTGCGGTAGGGGAAGAGACGGTAGTACGGAACCGACTCGTCAAACGTGACGACCTAGGAGGACAGAACACGACGCGAGGTGGGTTGGTAAGACAGCCAACCAGGCGCGTCAGGGGGAAAGCCGAGGAAGATGCAAGGAACAGCACGGGAGGACAGCTTGTCCGCAGACAAGTCTCGGACGAAAGCTCGAGATCCCCAGACACGGAACGCAGACGCATCACCAACCTTCCCGGTCCACCGCAGAGTAGGGGAGGTCTCCGGCAGGGAGACCCGGGGCTGAAGGTTGATCTGATGCGCCGCGTACTGAACCGCGAACGGCCACAGAAAATGGGGAGCAGCCGCATGGATCATGGACGTACGAGCGACATCCATGACCATGCCAATGCGGCGCTCAGCAATCCCATTTTGCCGTGGAGAGGCCGGAAGCGTGAACGTCTGGCGGATGCCCTCCGCACGACAGAAGGCTCGCAGAAGGTCGGAGGAAAACTCTCCGCCTCTGTCGGAGTGCAGACGCAGAACAGGAAAGTCCGAGCCGAAACGCTCTCTGAGCTGGAGACGAGCAACGCGGATCCAGTCGATCAACACCTCAGTGACCTCACCCTTGCTGCGCAAGGGGAAGACAGTGGTGTAACGCGAGTATTCGTCAACCACCAGCAGGAAGTAACGCTCGTGACCCTGTCCACGGACGCGGGCTGGGCCCCACACGTCCATGTGAAGAGTCTGCAGCGGAGCCTCTATCGGGGGAAACTCGGAGGAGTGAGGAGCGGCACGCTGCCACCCCTCGACGCAGGGAACGCAGGTAGGGGCAGGCCCCGGGGGAAGGGGAGGGAGGGACCGGGGGAGACCAGAGACAAGGACACGGGAGGCCATGCCTCGGAGACGAGGCAAGGAGGGGTGACCAAGGCGGTGGTGCCAGAGGAGGGTCTGGTGGGACAGGAGGCGGCACGAGCAGGGGGCAGACTCAGGACCTGACCGAGACGCTGCAGCAAACACCTGACTCGACGCAGCTACCTGACCAGACGCAACAACCGGGGGAGACTCTGTGGTCAGTGTGTACAGGCTCGACCCCGGTCGACGGGTAAACGTGGCCAAGTGGCGGCCCGTCTGAGCACACGAGCAGTGGGTCACTCGCTGACTCGCAGGAGCGAACTGGTCAACCCCTGCATCCTGAAGGTCAGCACCACTCACCAAGTTCATAGAGAATGAGGGGAGGTAGAGACCAGACAGGGAGCCGGACGGGGCCGCCGGACACGGGAGGACAGTGGAGTAGCGAGCAAGAACAGGACCCCCAGAGGGGTCTGCAAGGGAGACCGCAACCGGCCGACTGAGCGGCGTAAGGGTGGTGCGGTCTCGAAAGAAGGAACGGGAAGCACCCGAGTCGAGGGTGAAGGTGTGCAAGACCTGCGCCGACGCGGTACCTGAGAGAGCAGACTCACCAGCACCTAGAGAAGCAGACTCCCTGGAGCAGCAGACTCACGAGCACCTAGAGCAGCAGCCTCAATACCAGGGTCAGGCGGAACACACACGTAACAGTCACCCTCAGCACTAATAGACACAGCATACATGGCAGCAAGAATAGCATCAAAGTCATGATCAAAGATAGCTACACCCGACCTGAGCAGATCACCCCAACGAGGGATCTCAGTGGCGTCCGGGAACTGGGCACGCCAGGCGTCTGTCAGGCGACCGAAGCAGCGCTGGGTGGCGTGCAGGCTGCCACACTGCTCTCCAGTGCGGTCGCCGGTGCGCAGGACGTAAGTACAGGGACCAGCACCCCCAGACCCCTGGCGCCCCGTGTACCACTCACGAAGCTGCTGGGGCGACGGGGTCTCATGAGAGCGCTGCTGCTGCTGGGGTCCCCGCTGCACAGCTCCGCCTCTACCAGCTCCACCTCCGCCGCTGCCGCCTCCGCCTCCTCCACCCCTCCCGCCACCGCCACCGCCGCCTCCACCTCCACCGCTGCCACCGAAGCCCCCACCTCTGCCACCACCCCCACCCCCACCCCCTCCTCCGCCTCCACCGCCACTACCGCCGCCCCCACCACCTCCTCCAGCACCCTTGCCCCGCTTGCCCTTGCTGATGCGGCGCCTCTCACTAGGAGCAGACGCAGCGCTGACCGACTCGGTGCCAACAAGGTCGACAGCAGCAGCAGAGGCAACAGAGGGCAAAAGAGGAACGGGGGAGCACCCCTCAAAGAAAGGGGTACGGGGGTCACCACGAGAGGCCCCTACAGCGGTAATACTAGTCTCTGCTGCAAGGAGGCGCTCCTCTAGGAGGTCGACAGTGAGGGTGGTAGGGCAAAGAGAGAGGAAGTGGTCCCTGACCGAGCGAAGAGTGTCAGGGAGTCGAGTGACTAGGTAGTAGAGGGTGATGTACATGGGGGGGGAGGTCTGGGCGCAGAACTCAGCAGGAAGCGCAGCGCGGTAGCGAGTGTCACTAGTGCGGAGGTGCGTAATGAGGTCAGTGACTGTGGCGAAAGCGGCGAGGTCAGGGAACAGGTACGGTAGCATGAGGCGGCTAAGCGCAGCAGTGGCAGGGGAAGAGTAGCGTGCAACTACAGCGTCGTACAGAGTCTTAGCACTCTTGTACTGACTAAAGTGCGCGCGCTCAGTAGACGGTAGGTGACTACGCACAGCAAGGCGGGCAGCAGCATCGCGCGTGAGCCACTGCGAGCGAACAGTACTGTCAGCATCAGCAGCAGGGGCAGTAGAGGCGCCAGACGTAAGATCAAACAGTGAGAGACCATCCCTGCTATCGCACTGAAGGAAAAGCTGCAGATCATCTAGCCAGACATCGAAGTCAACCGCTCGACCCTCAGCATCAAAGATAAGAAGACTAGGACTAGCCATGATAGGAGCAGCAGCAGACTAGCAGCGGCAGCAGTGCAACTGAGCTAGGCAGGACAGCGCGACTCGGCAAAGCAGTGCGGCTCGGCAGCGCGGCTCGGCCCTGCGATGCTCTTACCAGGGGCGGAGTCGAGGGAGGGCCGGGGCAGGGCTGCGACAGGTCCGGGACTGGGTCGGGGCCGTGACAGGACCGGGACAGGGTCGGGGCCGAGCAGGGTCCGGGACGGGGCAGAAACGGGGCCGGGACAGGGTCAGGGCCGGGGCAGGTCCGGGACGGGGCCGAGACGGGGCCGGGTAGGGCCGGGACAGGGTCGGGGCCGGGGCAGGTCCGGGACGGGGCCGCGACAGGGTCGGGGCTGGGGCAGGTCCGGGACGGTGCCGAGACGGGGCCGGGTAGGGCCGGGACAGGGTCAGGGCCGGGGCAGGTCCGGGACGGGGCCGCGACAGGGTCGGGGCCGGGGCAGGTCAGGTACGGGGCCGCGACGGGGCCGTGTAGGGGGCGGCGTAGGGGCCGCGTAGGGGCCGCGCAGGGGCCGCGTAGGGGCCGCGTAGGGGCGGCGTAGGGGCCGCGTCAGGTCAGGGACGGGGCCGAGGCAGGGTCGGGGCCGGGGCAGGTCAGGTACGGGGCCGCGACAGGGCCGTGTAGGGGTGGCGTAGGGGCCGCGTAGGGGCGGCGTAGGGGCCGCGTCAGGTCAGGGACGGGGCCGAGGCAGGTCAGGGACGGGGCTGCGACAGGGTCGGGGCCGGGGCAGGTCAGGTACGGGGCCGCTTAGGGGCCGCGTAGGGGCCGCGTAGGGGCCGCGTAGGGGCGCGCGAGGCGCCGGGTAGGTGTCGCGTAGGGGCCGCGTGGGGGCCGCGTAGGGGCCGCGTAGGGGCCGTGGAGGGGCCGCGTAGGGGCCGCGTAGGGGCCTCGTAGGGGCCGCGTAGGGGGCCGCGTAGGGGCCGCGTAGGGGCGCGCTAGGCAACGAAGGGGCCACGTAGGGGCCGCGAAAAAAAAAGTTTTAGGGCAGGGCGCGAGACTCGCTTCGGGCAGCTGAAAAAAATAATTGTTATGGTGGGCCCTTAGGAAGGAACGGTCCCATGAGGGAACCCGCTCTATACCATGTGAGAATCAACAGGAATGGATTGAACTAGGAAAGTGTGAGATACAAATATGAAACCTGTACCCCTTAGTGTCTACCCCACTACAGCCTACATAGGCTAAGGCATATATATCTGACAAGCAGGGCCGACGGAAGAGTCGAGCCGGAGGGGGCAGAGCGGGCCACGCATAGATGCCACAGGGGATTAGGCAGAGAGAGAGACACCCAAGAAACAGGATATCATAAGTGCAAGTAACAAGCGAAAAAAGAGACACGGCAAGAGGGAAAGGAGTACCCCGATTTTCTCATGGCATCCACGGGAGGGAGATAAGGAATTAGTGGAAGGGGGCCCTACAGGGGGCAGGGAGATACCGTTGACAACCTGGAGGCTGGACACCGAGATGGTGTGCTTGTTGGAGATGCTATTACGGCGGGTGAGTGCGAAACAGGCGTGGTCCGTCACTCGGTGGTTGCTACAACACACCGAGCATGAGTGGCACGAGAAATTCAACAGGGCCAATTCCTCCTGGTCTGGAATCCACATCACCGCGGGGATGCGCTTGAAGGAAGGGTCGCCTTCGGCGGCCACCGGGAGGCCGAGCATCTGCGAGTATGCCGAGCCGCCATATGGGTCTTTGAGCCTGTGGAAGTGGAGCAGATCCGCAAGCCACGGGAGCTTGTCCTCGGTTTCCCCGCCGAGCAGAGTTGCGCGCATGCACTCCTGTGTGACACCCAGCGGCACGTTCCGCATAACCAGGTAGGTTTCTCCACGGGCTTTCGCAGTCGCGTACTCGGGGTATGGATCGATGAAGACTTTAACCTCGATGGGGCGGCTGTTGGCCAGCCTCACCGTAAGAGAGAAAAGACTGCGGAAAATGCGGGCATCGTAAGCAGAGGGCCACGCGTAAATGTGCCTGAAGTACGTCTTACGCAGCAGGCGCAGCGGATCACTAGCAGCTGCATCGTAGTGCGGAACCGCGCCGTTGAAGGCCACCGGACCAGTGAGCGAAGCGGCAATACGGGCCAGAATACTCTCGCGCACCTCCTCGGAACATTCCGGGAACATGACAGTGACCAGCGACTGGGTGTCACGCGTCAGTGACCGAAGCTCTGACCCAACAGAGGGACGGTGGTGGCGCAGATTGCGGTAGCGCAGATTGCGGTAGCGCACCGTAAGGGCCAAACTCGAAGCGGAGCCGGCGGCAGCCTGCTCAGTCACGGCCGCCTGCACTTGCGGCTGAGGGCGTGAGCCCGGGGCAGATCTCGGCCTCGGGGGGGCCACCGGTTGAGAGGAAGAAGGGGCCGTGGCAGCAGAGCTGCCAGAGGAGTTGGTGCGCTGAATGGGTCGAGGCACAGGCGCCACAGTAGGGTTACTGACCCCAGGGGGCTACGAGGAGGTCCCCTCCCCACACAGCTTCTTCGTAGCAGGCTCGCCGTGAAGCTCCGGCAGGGCGCCGTCAGGGAGATCTTCGAGAACATAGTCACCGAGGTCGGTGAGAGTGTCATCCCCGGCAGCAAGCTGCTCGTCGGTCATGACTGCGTCAGAGTTGTGGATAGAAGCCATGGTGGCGGAGGGTGAGAAACTTAGTAAAGCCGGGCGGCGTTTATACCAACGCCAAACCAGAGGAGGATTGTAATAGCGAGGAGGATCATGGTAATTGCTAAGGCGGACGTCAAAGCGGCTCGACGGGGGGTCGGAGCGCAAGTTTGAGTAATTGAGAAGGATAATGAAAGTGATGGCGCTTCGGCAATGGCCTTGGCAACCGAGTGAATCTGACTGTGCGCCAGATCGGCAAAACGAGACATGGAGGCAGGCATGAGTTTTAGCTTCATTCCATCGACTATGTTCGCCCCAGGTGGGGGAACTGCGTCGACGTAGGTGCCTGTGGACTTCCAGGAAGCCATCTCTGCGTCCATGGCTATCTGCCATTGAGAGGAGTACGGACCCTTGGTCGCGTCTGCGTAAGAACGCGGGGTCGGGATGTCCAGTGCATCCGAGTCTCCCTCAGGGCAAAGTAGCGTGGACGCGAGATGAGGTGCAGTGGCCGCTGGGCACTCCAGCTCAAATTGCGTGTCCTCAAGGACGTCACAGCCAAGGGCAAGCTCACCCCCGACGGACGGAGGATAGGAAGAGTAAAAAACAAGACTTTGCGTAGTCAAGGCGGCACAAAGCCGCAAATTCAACAAGCTTAGCAACTAAGGCAGATGCAGCAGCAGACTCAAAGGAGGGGTCAGTCACAACCGTGGCAAGTAGAGGACTGACAGTCGGACTGGCAGTACAGACAAGGTTAGAGTCAGGGTCAGGAACGTGAGGAAGAGAAGACGCGGGAGGCGACGGCAGGACAACATGCTGTGGAACAGAGGAAGGACGAAGTGCCATGATGTGCGTGTCAGGGACAGGTGGAGGACGAGGACGCACATCACGACGAGTACGGACAGGCGTGACAGGACGCGACGCATGCTCTCTAATCTCAGTGAGGGACTCTGTCACCGCAGTGTAACAAGCAGGAGCAGGCAGTGGGGAGTGAGGCAGTAACTGCGGCTGAGACTGGTTAGGCGATGGAAACAGTAACGAAGGAGTAGTGCCAGCAACAGGGAACTCAATAACAGTAGGCAGGAGACTGAGAAGGTGACTAAGTGTAGACGGCTGCAGCTGAGTAGTCCCACCCCCAGAACCTCGAGCTCCAGTAGTAACAGCACCCCCAGAACCAGTGCCTCCAGCTCCACCAGTGGGACTGCCCCAACGGACAGCCCACTCGCTAAGCTGCTGCAGCGAGATCGACTCCTGCCAACTAGCACCAGGACCAAGGACTCCAGTACCTCCAGTAGCACCTCCAGTGTCAGCACCTCCAGTACCTCCAACTCCAGGAACATTAGCACTAGCACCTCCAGGTCCAGTACCTCCAGTACCTCCAGCTCCAGTACGTCCAGCTCCGCCACCGGGGCTGCCCCACCGGACAGCCCACTCTCAAAGCCGCTCTGGCGAGAGAGGCTCTTACCGACGTGAACCAGTACCACCAGCAACAGCACCCACAGCACCAATACCTCCAGTACCTGCGGTAGCACCAGTGCCTCCAGTACAGCCAACTCTAGGAACACCAGCACTAGCACCTCCAGGTACCTCCAGTACCTCCAGCTCCAGCACGTCCACCTCCGCCACCGGGGCTGCCCCACCGGACATCCCACTCTCAAAGTTGCTCCGGCGAGAGAGGCTCCTGCCGACGTGTACCAGAACCACCAGCAACAACACCCGCAGCACCCCCAGCAGCAGCACCTCCAGCACCTCCTGTCCCCAGAGGACTCGCAGCACCCCCAGAGCCAGCACCCTCAGTGTCACCACCTCCAGCAGCACCAGAGTCTACAGCGACGGGCTGCAGTGGCGGTGAAGATGGTCGAGGCAGAAACCCAGGAGGGATCGCCAAGCGCGTGGAGCGGCAAGGGGCCACGGTGTCGCCAACAGTCGTGTCACCCCCCTCAGTTGGGCCAGAGGTGTCAGAGGAGACCTCCAAAGGCTCAACCAAGGGGGGTGGGTATACCTGAGACACACCTGAGGGAGAAGAACTGGGAGGAGGGAGGGGGGCTACCGGGGGGGGGGGGGTCGACAACCAGGGAGAGAGGCGGGAGGGGTACCGGGGAACTGCGATCGGGGTGAAGACAGTAGAAGCAGACTGACTCGTCAAAAGTGACGTTGCGGGAGGACCGCACATGACGAGAGCCCGGGTGGTAAAACTGCCAGGGCGTTGCGTTGGTGGGAAAGCCAAGGAACACGCACCGAAGAGTGCGCGGAGAGAGCTTGCCCGCGGGCAGATCGCGGACAAGAGAGAGGGAACCCCAGACCCAAAACTCCAACACATCGCCAACCTCTCCCATCCACCGCAGAGTAGGTGAGGTCTTTGGGTGGGAGACTCGGGGCCAAAGGTTGAGCTGATGCGCGGTGTATCGGACCGCAAACGGCCACAGAAAATGGGGAGCAGCCGCATGGATCATGGAGGTACGAGCAACCTCCATGACCAGGCCAATGCGGCGCTCGGCAATCCCATTGTGCTATGGAGAGGCCGGAAGCATGAACGACTGGACGATGCCCTCTGCACCACAGAAGACCTTGAGGAGGCGGGATGAAAACTCACCACCTCGGTCAGAGTGCAGCCGCGGAACTGGGAGGTCCTGACGGAACTGAGCGCGAAGCTGGAGACGGGCAGCGCGGATCCAGCGGATCAAGACCCCGCAGACATCCGCCTTGCTTTGCAAGGGGAAGACCGTGGTGTAGCGCGTGTAGTCGTCGAAAACCAGCAGAAAGTAGCGCTTGCCACCCTGTCCAATGACACAGGCGAGGCCCCACACGTCCATGTGGAGGGTCTGCAGAGGAGCAGTGGTAGGAGGAAACGAGGAGTGAGGAGCAGCGCGCTGCTGCCCCTCGACGCAGGGAAGGCAGGGCGGTGCAAGCGACCTCGGGAGTGGGGGCAGGGACCTGGGGAGACCAGACACAAGGAGACGGGAGTGCATGCCACGCAGGCGTGGCAAGGAGGGGTGGCCAAGACGGTGGTGCCAGAGGAGAGTCTGGTGCGTGAGGAGACGACACGAACAAGACGCAGTGACCTCAACCGACGCAGCTACCTGACCTGACTCAGCCACCTGTGCAGACTCAGTAGTCAGTGTGTACAGACCAGACCCGGGCCTCCGAGTGAACGTCGCGAGGTGCTCGCTAGTGCGTGAGTCCGCACAGATCGCCACAAGCTCTCCTCCAGGCTGGGTGACAGTGAACCACTGGTCCTAGAGAACAGATGTAGCCGCCAAGTTCTTAGCGAACGAGGGGAGGTGGAGACTTGTGAGGAGGCCGAAAGGGGCCACTGGACACGGGAGAACAGTAGCGCCACGCGCAACTACTGGGCCACCGGAGGGGCCGGCTAGTGTGACAGGGACAGGGGCTGTGAGCGGTGTGACTGTGGTGCTGTCGCGGAAGATGCAGCGAGACGCGCCTGAGTCAAGAGTAAAAGTGTGCAAGGCCTCCTCAGGCTCTGCACGTGCTCTTAGTCAAAAGCACTAAGTCTAGCAGCCTCTACCCTAGCAACTCTAGGCACACACGCGTAACAATCAACCTCAACACTAGCAGAAGCAGCATACATTGCATACATGCCAGCATGGAACACAACCCAGTCACAAGCAAAAACATCAATGTCCTTCTTCAGCAAGGCCAACCAGTATGGAGTCGTCATCTGCTCACCATGCTCCGCACGATACAGATCGTCGAGGCGAGAGAAGCAACGAGACTTGGTGTGGTCGGTGCGAGTGCACGTCGCTCTAGGCTGACCTGTGCGACGGACGTACCCGCAGCGAGCTGGGGCACCTGAGCTGCCACATCGGATCGCCCACTCACGAAGCTGCTGCGGCAAGAGCTACACCTGTCGGCTCGGCTGCTGCTGCTGACCACCCCCAGAGCCACCTCCACCACCCGCTGCACCACCAGACGCAGATGAACGAGTGGCCGGACCTCCAGCCCCTCCTCCGCCAACTCCACTCCGAGTGCCACCCCCAACCCCTCCACCACCCCCATTGCTCCCACCACCCCCTCCTCCTCCTCCTCGGCCGCCTCCACCTCCTCCTTCCCCACCACCACCACCTCCACCGCCTCCACCGTTGCCCCCACCACCCCCACCACCCCCACCCTTGCCACCTTGCCCTTGCCGCTGCGGTGCCTCCCACTAGGAGCAGACGCAGCACCGACCTCCTCAGCACCAAGGAAGTCCACAGCAGCAGCTAAGGCAACACACGGCGCGAGCAGGGAGGGGGAGCACCCCTCAAAGACAGAGGGGAGGGGAGTGCTACAAGAGGCAGCGACAGCTAGGGCTGCGGACTCAGCCTCTAAGAGACGGGACTCAAACGAGGCGAGGGTGATCTTCATGGGGTCTAGAGCAAGGAAGTGGTCGTGTACAGCACGAAGGGAGTCAGGGAGGCGGGTCGTGAGAAAATAAAGGGTGAGATAAATGGGTGGCTTGTTCTCAGCTCTAAAGGCGGGCTTGAGGGCAGAAGCGTAGCGGGTCTCAAGGGAGCCCAGGTGAGTCAGGATGTCGGCTACAGTGGTGAAGTCTGACAACTCAGGAAAGAGGAACGGCAGTGCCAGGCGGCCTACAGTGGCAGACGACAGGGACGAGTAGCGCTTGACTACAACGTCCTAAAGTGCCTTTGCAGTCTTAAGCTGACGAAAGTGGGTGCGTTGGTTTAGCGGAAGGTGACTACGGACAGCAAGAGCGGCAGTAGCATCACGAGAAGTCCACTTGGACCGGTCTACACGAGCAGCTGAGTCAACAGGGGCATCGAGGGACCCTGAGGTATGCTCAAAGAGAGAGACATCCTCCCTAGTAAAGCTCTGCAGGTACCAGTGGAGATCCTCTAGCCAGGACTCAAAGTCTACCGGGTGGCCCACTCTGTCAAAGGTGAGTACACTAGGGGTCGCCATAGCAGTACAACGGTAGTGGCAGCAGTAGAAACAGTAGTAGCAGTAGCAGCAGTAAGGGGCTGCTCAGTAGGGCGGCTCGGTTTGGGCGGCTCGGTTTGGGCGGCTCGGCA